GATTTTGGTAGGGCTTATATTTTCAAATCAAGACCCCCAAATTTCACGATGATCTGATTTCACGATAATCCGCGACAGTAAATATATAACTAAAATTAATATTTAAAATTTTATTAAAAAATTTAAATATTAAAAAATTTAATAAAAATTTTTGCAGACAAATTTGTCTGTATTACAATTTAAGAGATAGTAGCTCTATAATATATTATATAAAAAAAATAATAATTTTTAATTTCCTAACTCTAACTTTAAATTTTATTAAAAAAAATTATATATAGGTACTAAAACACCATAGATGTGTTTTATAATAATTCTTACTATAATATAAATTATTTTATTTATATTTTATAAAATTTTGGTATAATTGTAAGTTTTAAAAGAGGTATGGTGACTTAGTGTAGTGGTCTAGTTGTTACCCTCTCCAAGTGGCAGGTCTGGAGTTTGAATCCCATGAACGACGAATTTTGAAAATTAGGCTTGCGTTACGATTGACAGTTATGATTATTGGTTGAATCTTAGATAAATTTGTAACTTCGGTCACACTATCTAGTAATGGGAGCAATGGCGCAATAAAGCCAAGAAACCAGAATAACCGAAAACTCATTTGAAAAGTCCCGAGCTAAGGAATAGCGATGATCTACGAAGGTACTACATAAGGGCTGAATTCGAACTGGGGCCCGAGATCGAAGAACCGAATGACTAGGTCCTAATAGTGAAGGACACACTAGCCAAACCACCGGGTTCTGTCACATTGGAGAAAAAAAGCATACACTCCAAAAGTATGCACCAAGAGGAGGGCATCCTTTAGGCACCTAAAGCCTGAGCAGACCAACCCTTTCGGATTGCCGGCTAGAAGTAAGGAAGGGACCGATAAAGAATCCAGGTAAGAAGACGGTACCAAATGCGAGTATCAGGATTGTTGTAAATCTTAATAAGGGCAAGAAGTAGGTAATACAAGGGGTTTAATGGTTAGCCCTGACCCCAAGTGTATAGGTCAAGCTGTGGCGTAAAATTACTAAAGTCTGGGTAAGGCATATGAGTTGAACAAGTGCCCCAGCAAAAAGGCAAACATGGCCTTCCATTGATCCAGAGGAGAATCCTCTAGCAAGTTAGAGGCCAAAGAGGAAGTAAATTAGTGGCTAGATAGTTACACATAGGCACCTCTAAACAGCCATGTGATGCTTTACGCAAGAATGAGGGTGTAGTGGTCTGAGAACTGCAATACTGCGGGGGAGGGACTCGGGATATATACAGAAATGTATATAGATTAGACTGCTGTACTACCATATAATGTATTTAACTATTTAGACGTAATAAAGTAGTTACTGTTGAAACCAAAAAAAAAAAAAAGTAAAAAGTTTTAAAGTTATTGTACCACCAAAATCATATGACAAAATGATCTATGTACTTCAGTTGTCTTAATATCAAATACTGTATGTTTTCAAAAATAAGCAACCTTCAAAAGAACTACACCTTTTCTCTTGAAGAGAAAATATAAAAAACACCTTTGTTTTGAAAATAAGCTATCCAAATTAGCTACAAGTAGTTGCTACATATAAAAGTCAAAATTATGCTAAGTAAATCAAACAAAAGTTACTTAATAGCAATTATTCAAGAGGTAAAAATACACCTATTCTGAAAGTTTCAAACAAATTGAAGAATTTTTTACTAAGATGTTTTTGCATTTTACGTTCAAATGTAAAATGCAAAAATATCTTAATAAAAAATTATCTGATTTACTTGAACTTTTTAGGATAGGTGTATTTTTATCTCCTGAACAATTGCTATTAAATGCTTTTGTTGATTTACTTAGTAAAATTTTAACTTTTAAATGTAGCAACTACTTGCGGCTAATAAAAAGTTAATAAAAATTAATAAAAATTAATTGTACCCAAAAATAAGCTACTTCATGATTTTTGTGTAACTTTTTGGCCAAAAAAGGGGGACGTCTAAAGCGAAGTAGATTCTTATAATATATATTTTATCAAATTAACTTTAAGGTTATAGTCATCTTGGATTATAGTTAAAGCAGGCTTTAGATAATTATATATAAGCAAAATTGCCTTCCTGACATTTTACTTAGCTTACCCTAGGTAGGTTTAGACTGCTATTTTTTGTATTTTCAAGTTTTTCTTGGTTTGCTTCGTCGGCGATCATCAAAATTCTATAATTTAATTGGTTATATATCACGTGATTCTGCTCCGCTTTAGACGACCCCCAAAAAAGGTAGCTTATTTTCGGAAACCTACGGTATATCACATGATGAATCCTTAACGTACGTATTATAACAGATAAATTTCTATAAATCGTCGACAAAACCTTGTAATCAAACGATCATACAGTCAAACCTGTCTACTATCCTGCATAAATGAATAAACCAAGTTGATTACTAAAGTTAATTGTATAAACTGCTTTACTGAATAATACATACGTAGAACTTTAACTTTATATTAGGATCGTCAAATCGATGATGGATTTTAGCACTTTAAATTCATGATTTATTTTTTGCAATTATTTGCTTGAACTTTTATTAGGCAAGTGGTTCTGGATGATAAGAGAATTCGGTTTCTAACATAGATTTGGAATTAATTATGATAATTTTTATCGTTATTATCCAATATTACGTGTCCAATACAAAGTTCTTTAGATTATCGCACATAATACGTATGAAATAATCGTAATCGCATCAATCAATGTAAAAAAAAAAAAAATAAGAGTTTTTGTGTAGAATTATGTACCATTTTATGTACGTACTTACAAATTAATCAAAAATTATAATACGACAGGTTGAAACCTGCCATGTTCATCACATGAGGTTTCCATATAATAAAGAACACAATCGCAAATCAACACTTTAAATACTTAAATTTCAACCATTATACTGTATATATATATAATATGTCGTGTCTGAAGTTGACACTGAAATAGCCCCTTAATTGGATCTTCTTGCATACATTAGTAATTTAGGCAAGTGTGACTTCAGGTTGAGACACAATTGAATTTTCTTAAAAATTATCAAGCAAATTGTCCCGTATCAGTTATATCAATAATGTACAGTAGCTTTTTTTAGAACTTCAATGTTAAAATTATTTTTAATATTATACCCATGTAAAAAAATCTACAATTAGTGATATATAATGTAAATAATGTAATATATTTATCAGGGCGAGACTCAAATATCTATCTTAAATGTCAAAGAAGTTTTAGACGAATCTAAACCATAACAAATAAAAAGACTCATTTTCTGTCAACAAAATCATTTTTTTTATAGCACTAATTAAAACCTTAAACGCTAATTAATAATCTAATTCATTATTTGAATACATCGTTTACACACTATATCTCTAAGTATATTTGATATTAACAAGAATGTATGACTCAATAAATATACAAAAAGAAAAAAAAACAAAAGCTTATGCGTGAATTATTATTATCAGCTAAACCGAAAATTAGCTTTAGCCGATTTTTTCAATCTTCTTTGTAGCAACTCTTAGTTTGTTTGCTGTTTGATCAACATTTTCACTCAATTCAGTCAACAGTCTGTTCTGAAATTCCAATTCTTGACCAATGGCAACTCCAATGTGTTTATGTCTGTTCAATATAGAACTAAATTGTTCAGCATGTCGATCTTGATCTTCCATGGTTTTTCTTTGCAATTCGACAAGACCCTCATTATCTAATCCTCGAGTTACTTCTGTTTCTGCTGGCATAACTGTCATAGCTCGAGTGTTACCAAACACTCGTCGTGACGTTGGTGGTGCTTTTTGGAAAACTTGTGGATGCGAGTGCTGTCTAGATGGCGTTCGGAATAAAGCTGCTCGATCAACTGAACTAGCTGGTTTCGTAGCTTTATTAATATCTGGTCGGTTTGCCATTACAAGCTTTGTTAACGTATCTTTTTCGTCTTTGAGATCATTTAAAAGATCTTGCCGTCTTCTCAACTCTCCTTCTGACATGATTTTTCCATCTCTTCCTGTTCCTTTTGCCAATCCTATAAGTCCACTTTCAAGTTGAGATGTTCGAACTCCAAGCGTTGTCAGGCTCTTCTTTGCTTGCACACTACAATTATGTGATGCTTGAACTTCATTACGTGCAATATGTGTTTCACGACGGTTAATAAGTGACCGAATTTCTTTGGTTAAAGCCTGTACTTGATGATATTCATCAAGCCAACTTTCTGAAGAGTACATAGTCGTAGTGTCAAGGGGCCTTCCAGTTGGTATCGATAAGAATTCTTTCCATTCTTCTGTCTCTCTCCAACGATCATCTTTATGAAATAAAATACCCCTTAAATAGTCTTCTAAGCCTCTTCGTCTTTCCTCAACCAGCACTGGATTCCCTAAAGTTGATTGAAAGATGTGCTTTGCCGGAATTTCAAAAGGTGGTGGGTTATTTGGAAAAAGTCGTATAAATTTATCATTTAATTCGTCAAATTCACTATAACGTTTCCAAATAGACCAAGTTCTAACTTCTGCATGCACCTCAACACGATAAACAATATGAGGTTTTGGTTCATTTCGTGTTTCTGTTTCTCGAACATAAAGGTTTTTAATATTTTCACTCATTGTGTCCTTTCGATAAATCGATAGTTCGTGTGAATTGCAGTATAACTTATAAATTAGGAGTATTTATACATGTACAGCTGATGTTTCACCATTACTATTTTGGTTTAATACTGACGCAAGCTTACATCTACACGCTGTGGCGTCGTTGAGATTCGCATAATGCCGATAAAAATAATCTTATTACACATGTTTATCAAAAAGTACTGATTTTTTATATATTAAATCAAAATATGCGTTGAAAGGTAGAAACTGGTAATCTTGAAATTAATAAAAATTCACTACATATGAGCAAAGATGATATTTCTTCAAAACCAAATGGTATGTGACAAAAAAAATAATCTACATGTGTGCAATAAATATATATGATCCATACTAATATCTTGACAAATCAAAATGATCTGAATAATAATAAATTGGCTGGATATTAAAGAAAAACAAATTCAAGTATTAAAACTATTAATAACAAGCGGTTCTTTCAAGCTTCTTCTCTTTACATCTTCTTGAATGAAAACTTCTGCAACTTCTGCAAGTTGTTTATCATCTTCAGCCTCTTGAAGGGCTTCTTCGATAGCTGCCTTTGTTTTGGCCTGCGCATCCGCATTTACTTCTTCTCGAGGTGGTGGCAAACGTTCGTTTTTGAGATCAGCTCGGCGCGCCTCTTCGAAAGAGGTTATGGCTTTCGTGGTGCAGAATAAAATTAGTTCATTATCGCTCATGTTATATAAATAATAAGTAATGTGATCTACCTTGTTTGATGCCTTCAGCACCCAAAGCTAAAGTACCATAAGGCAATTTGCCAGTTCCAGTGACGTTCTTTAATTCCATAACACTCTCTGATTCTTTTCTGTTGTAAGGTATGATAAACAGTAAATATTATTGTGTAATTTCAATAAAGACACGATTTGACTTGATTAAAATACCTAAGAACTGAAAATACTCTAGCCATTTTACCAACCGCCAAAATCTTACTTTTAATAACTTGGCGCCTTTCTGCTCCATCTATCGGCATTATATCTGAAAAAATAAATTAGAGAAGGATTAAAAAGAGCATTATTATAATCACATTCGTTACATTATATCATCTACCTGTTGTCGGTGATTTATCTTCTTCCATAAGCTCTTCATCTGCCAATTCTTCTTTACTACAGATATTTAAGATAGCAAGAAGCATGTCCGTAACTAGATGAAAAAATTACTATGGTTGAGTTCAGTTCGCTCCAATTGACTAAAATTACATTTATACATATAACACAAATGTAATGCATACTTTTTTCACCCACAAAGGGTAAGGACCAAGTGAATACATCCATAAAGTTTGGTAACCAATAAGGATGAGGCGTATAATTGAACTGGCGAATATTCATGACATTATTCTCATATTTTAACACAGCAGCTATAAAAAAAACAACGATTAATCGTTTTATTTGCCAATAATATATGAAACATGAAACATGGACAAACCTTTATTATTATATACGTCTAAATAATTAGGTGCTGAAAAGATTGTCATAACAGAAGGAAAACCGGTGGTCTTTGTCTTACGATACATTCGGTACCTAATCAACATGCCTGGAATGAATAACCAAAATGAACTTTATTAAGAGATTTTATTTCTTACCCTGCATCTTGAGCTTCATGCGCACGAATAATCGATAATAATCCATTCTTTTCCAAAAAGTTACAAGCGGCGTGATAACTGGTCAAATGAATTAAGATATTAAATTTTAGTTTGACGCCATTATTAAATGTAATTATTAATTTACCTAAAAAAATAGGAACATCCTCGGACATGATTATGTACAAAGCATTCATTTGTTTTTTCTTGCCCAAATTCTTCTAGTGGATCAGCCCACAACAAATCGCACATTAACCCATGTGTTGGTGGTTCTCGAAATCTTTCAATCTAGGAAAATAGTGAAGTGACTCAAACGTGAATTACTGCTTGTTTTGCAGACATTTAAAATTTAAACACATACTTCGCGTAAATCATCCAAAGTATTAAGGTCTGGTGATAGGCCACCATGAATGCATAGAAACTGTTTATTCATTATTGCAGCAAGTGGAAGCGCACAAAAAGATTCCATACAAGCGTCATAAACTTTCTCGGAATATTTATGTTTACCTAAGGTATATAAAAATTTTATAAAAATTTAAGTTTCATATGAACGTTGAGGTCAAATGAGAAAATATAATAAGCAATCTTACATTCCAATTTAAATGTAAAATAATCTGTCAAATGGCGACATTCATGATTACCACGTAACAAGAATAATGTACTAGGAAACCATATTTTTAATGCCCATAAATAGAGAACACACTGAAATACGTAAAAAGTGAACCAGTTTGGTAATGCTATAAAATAAATGTCTAACAATGATAGAGATCTTTGCTAACAAAATGAGCCTTCTGTATTATTATAATAATATTCCCGAAGGATCTCTTATTACCAAAGATCACATATAAAAAATTCGTGAAAAATAAACCTCAATAGAAAAATATCCTCTGTCGACGTAATCACCAAGAAAAAGATATCGCGTCTCTGCTGGATTACCACCAACTTCGAACAGTTTCATCAAATCATAATATTGTCCATGAATATCACCACACACTTTAAAAGTAGGATTGATGATTAGATCACAGATAGTTTGTATGGACGTAATAGAACCATTTTATTGATTCAAACTTACCCGTTATGGGCGCATCTACTTCCAATAAGTTGGGTTCCTGCTTTAATAACTCAGTGCCTTTATTGATAATATATAAAGCTTGTTCTTCCGTAATTCTTCCTTCACGGTAGAAATGATTCTTCAGAAATTGAATATCGGGTTTTTCAGGATCATCTTTGGAAAAGAATTCCTCATCCGTTGGCTTATGAACAGCAGGTGCTTGGACGTCTGAATGTGCGAACAATGTTATTTTTAAAAAGGTTAATAGGTAAGCTTCCTAAAGCGAGTCTAATCCAAAGCTTTTGTGCTGCAAAGTTCCTAGTGATTTTGATAAAAGTGTGTTGTATTCAAGAGTAAACATCGTGCCATCTTAAAGATTCTGCCGTAGAAAATAAAGCTGTTTTTTTTTTTTCGATTTCTATTTCAAAAAGCTTTGCTAGCCATATAAAAGGTCACTACTCTTGCCTTTTTTTAGATTCACGAACCTTTGCAATAACGGTCTAAAGTTGACACCTTGGTACCATCTTCCATCTCATGTATGCTGAAATCAATTGTCACCGCAGGCACTTTTGTTTCGGCCAGCCTTTTAAGATAAGTGGCAGCATCTTTTGGAAGACCTGTCTCGTTTGTATCATTTTCACTCATTTTAAAATCTAAAAGATAATATAAACGATAGGTCTGTCATTTTATTTATATGTAGGTCGGTGTAACATGGAATGTCTATTATTTAATAAATGATACTCATGTCTATCGTGTTATGTATTTATGTATATCAGCTTGACAGATTCGCAGGATTGCAATTATTACACTCCCATGCTACCCCTTCTTTAATTCCTCATTGTGCAACTAGTGCTTGTAATAATTCACCATCCCTGCGCATATATGCAAAACATTTCGAATAATTCATGCTGTATTTATGTCTTGATTTTACAAGACATTTTAATGCAGTTCATCGAATATTAAAAACTCTAGTACAGCGATGTTGCGATGCAAACAAAAATTAGTAATAAAAGGCCAGAATATTGAACTTTTAGATTTGCGGGGTGTCAGTTTGTTTATATCAGAAGGGTTGCAAAATGAGCTACCCCCGCGTTATGTGATATATTCTAGCCAATAAGATTGCTAGATTAACACGATACATTACATATTCTTTTTTTTTTTTTGCCTTAATATGTACGTAGGTATAGTATGGGACAGCATAACCCAAAAATTTTTTTAGCCAAAATATTTTTATTTATAATTAGGTTTAAATTTTATATTTAATTGATGATCCACCAGTTACCTGAAGAATAATCATAATAAAATGTAACTCAGATTACTATATAAATTTACTATAGTGCGAATATAGCGATCGCCCAAGGTAAACTTTTTTTCATACTAAGTTAATCATCTTTTTTGCTTAAGAGACTTTTGTAAAGCTTGTCA